ACATGCTGCTCCCATGTAGCATACATTCTCTATTATATTCTTTTATTGTATTGCTGCATTTGTTGCTGCCTAAAGTGTCCTAGATTTTGTGTTACATGCATAATTGCACAATGACTCTGCTGCACATGCTGCTCCCATGCAGCATACATTCTGTCATATTCTTGTATATTTTTTTCTACTATATTGCTGCATCCGTGCTGCTTAAAGTGCCTTAGATTTTGTGTTATTTATTTATCTACTTTATATTTCATTTGTATTTTGTGGCATTCATGTGGATGGCAAAGTAAGAATTTCATTGTACAGGGAAACACGTTTCCTAACTGTGCATATGACAAATAAACATCTTGAACCTTGAACCGGTGACGGTGGCGTGTCGCTGGAGTCTGGCAGTGAGGAATGGTTCTCAGCCATGATAAGAGGGAATGTACTTGCCCATGATGTTTCTTCTTAGACTGCTGAAGAAAAAGAGGGAGCCGATCACAGGTCACAGTGGCATTTATGCCATCGCAGCGGACCTGTTTCATGACAGGCCAGTGCAGGGCACAGGTCGCGAAAGAATCTCTTCCGGACTGCACAAGTGTGAGGGATAAACCCAATAGTGACAGCTCTTAGAGAGCGAAGCCTATACAAAATAGAATATATGGAGTTAAGCTAAGATCTCCGAGCTCTCACATAAGGGAGCCATTATTCAGAGGTTCTTCAAAACACAGTCCCCTCTCTCCAGACTGGACTAATAAACTCTTATTAGACGTGAAGTATTCAATTCATTATCTCCCAGCTGCCAGCAGGCTCTCTTCTGCATGCCACCCTCACTGCTGGGCTGATAACAGCTGCTTATTATTAATGACTCTGGGTCTTTTCATCACCAGGGCCCAGACAACTTGGATGAGATTGCTCGGATGTTGTTTACTTCCCTGCTGCTTCGTTTTGTTTGAGCTGGCAGACAGAGTTATGCAGACCAGCGTGATGCGGTGATCGACTCATTAAGTGCTGCAGCTCAGTCCCTAAGCTTTATTCTGAGGGTGTCAGTCTTCCTGCTCCTCTTCACTTGAATATGACAGGTCTGGCTGCTTGTTTCAAATCCCACTAGAGATTATTTGTGTCTGTGATTGACTTCCCAGTTATCTGTAAAGTAGCATAAACACAGACAAACTAGGGGCAGGTGTGTGAGTTGCTGGACGCCTTCACATCAGCCTGACTGTACAGGAGTAGTCTGATGAACAGTACCAGCAGAAGGAGGAATACGTTTGAGTAATTACTATGCAGGCCTGGCCTCTCACAGAAATGACACCAGCAACGTGTAAAGTGAACACTGGAAATGAAGTCACCCTGAGGTGGTGAAAGGATGGGCCTTTGTTCAGATCCCAGACAATGATCCTGGTGATGATGGGCAGACTGCCTTTGTGCAACTGCCCGGTTGGCCTGTCTGTGCAGCTCCACTGTCACCGCTGAGATAGCCACTGAGACTCACAAGATACAAGTGATTTTACATTGTCTTTTTTGTTATTGATCTTTCTTTTGCACCACAAAGCCCTGAAGGCATTTTCCAACTTTCTTTATTGCTCTTTTCTCTCTCTTTGTGTTTTTTAAACACAATCGAAGTTCTTCAGCCAAGTTCTTCTTTTTCTGTGAATAGCACCTAACCACATCATCAATGAAGCACACAAACAAGGACACTACACCAAAACAACTCCAAAGCATGTCTCCTCGCTCCAGTTGTCCCTCTGGGTTTCAGTGGAATACTCCTTTAAAGTTCTGGGGCTTGGTGACGGGCTTCTGAGTTGCACAGGGCTGGTTTTGTCCCTCAGGGAATTTGTGATGGTAGAGACATAAGAGGTCAGGCCAAGGCTGTTACTTTAGCTCCATTTACTGGCATGCTGAGTTCTGAGGATGACAGGGACACGAGGATGTCAACACAGTGAGTGAGTGATTGGATCTGACTCGTCAAAGAGATGCCTCCATTACCAGACAATGGCGTCCTCTGACATATCTTGTCCTCCTGATGCGAAAGCCTCGTCTCACTGCCCGAAAGAAAGACCTGTCACTCATTTCTATACCTGTGCCTGTACTCTCACCTCTGTCTTGTCTGTGTCCTCTTTTATCAGGTCAGGTGTCAAACTCCTCCTGGAGTCTGGGTGGCTGTCTGCCAGCCTCATGTCCTGGAGTTAAAAGCTGAGAGAACTGACCAGAATCCAGATCAGAGCCCAGGGGCATTGGAGTTCTTGTAATGTTCTTCTGATAGTTCATTTCTGGACCCATTGTCCTCTCCATGATGTTCTTCATCTCCCTCACCCCTGGACGTCAACAAAGCAGTCCACCTTCACATCAGGTCAGTGTTAGTGATGAATCTCACAGAGTGCAGGACAACAACAGGCTACAACACAGCAAAGATGTCACGGTCACACTGTTGTCATCTGGTTCCCCTGCACTTACATATGTTTCTCCTTTATAGTTTGACTCAGACTTAGGTGAGTCACACCTTTGATCAATGCAGACGTGGCTGTTTGTCATGATGTGAAGAAGCACTGCTTAAACAGCATGAGCCCAGTTCAACAGAGCAGTATCCTATCCATCTGCTCCCCTCAGTCAGAGCGGCAGGAAATAACAGCAGAGCCTCTGTGGAAAAGAACCTCAAGTGTGTAGATGTAAAACAGGTTAAAGGTGCTGAGGAACGGGGAACAAACAGCAGGTATGACTTTGGCCATCCGCCGAAGGAGCCCAGAGCCCTGTCTGCAGCTGTAAACCTCATTTTCTGTCATTTCCCTCAGAACAAAAAGCAGCAATGCTCTGCCACTGACTGTTGTGATCAGAAGAAGAAAGCGCCGCAGCTGGCCATGGTGTTACATGACTATAGCCACTAGATCTGTCAGTACCGGTACAGGACCCGACTCCTGAATTGGGTTTTATTCCTCAACAAATTCTATTTGAAGAGTGTAGCAGTGTGTGAATCTAGTTGGGGCAGGAGGCTGTGGAATTATGATTCCTATTAAGCTTTCCAAAGACACAGTAAATGAACTAAATATCCTGTTACCATTAAGACATCTGCATAATGTTCAGCGCACCAACATATGTTATTGCTCTGTAAATATCTTCCTGATACACAATCACTGCCTCGATGTGTTGACCCGAACGTCTTCATTTCTTTGTTTCCAGTCCTTACAAAGCTGATGATGCCCTGTGCACTCACCTGGACACAGAGCACTGATATTCCCCAGTTCCTACTCAAAGTAAATTAATACCTTGACAATTCTGGAAGCAAACACAAACATAAAACACAGGCCATACTGTTGTTTTTGTTTAATGTCTTCTTCTTGAACATGATGATTTTACACATTTTCAGATTTCCCATTTCCTTTCAAATTAAAGGGACTTTCTCTAATATGTTTAATGTATTTCCTGGTAGCGTCTTATGAGCTTTATATTTGATATTCCACTGTGTCATAAAATCTCAGTGCCTGTAACATAACAAACATAAGGTACGGGACATGAAGCCATGTTAATAAGTGCTGCAGCTCACCTCTGTAGAATGAAAATGTGATTAGTGAGAGTTTTACATGCATTTCCCCAAACCTTGACATAACAGACCATGTGTGGAACAGTAACAGTGCATTTCTGTGTAGCTGGTCTGACGCTTTGTGCAAAAGTGCCACTGACTTCATATCATTTACATGTGGTTTCCAGCACAGCCTTTGATCGATGATGACCCAAAAATGTATTTTCATGTACTCTCTGGATTTCAAAGCTACTTCTGTTTGTGCACCCGGACCACCTTTCTGGGCAGTACAGGACTGATCTGCCATCCAGTCAATAACTGCATTCCCTCTTGAATAAATTTGGTAACTTACTATCACATAACTGTGTTGAATGTGCATCTAAAGTTCCACAAACAGCTGCGTTCTGCTGTCAGCGACAGTGGCTCTTGTGGTTACTGGGGAACTCCCAGGTTACAACAGTGTTTTTCTGTGTACACTTTCCAATATCAGGCTTTGAGTGTGCTTTCCCCAAATATTGGCTGTTGTAGGGTCATAATGAAATGAAAATGTAGAGCGGAGATAAAAGACCGGGCTGTGTTTATTAGTTGCTGGACAACAGCAGAGGCCGACGGCAGAGAGCAGAAAGATAAACCAGCGTCTGGACTCACACACATTACAGTGAGTAGAGCACATTTGTCGGTGCTGTTGGTCTCTGGATGGGACCTGTGCAAAGTATTGCAAACTTACACGGTCACCAGCTGCACCCTTTGATGTGGTTTTAGGCTTCAGGTTAGAATCAGGGTTTGATATTAGGGTAAGGACTGGGGTTAGGCTTCTAGTTGTGATGACTATGACTAGATTAAGGGGTCCTCACCTGTATAGAAAGATGGCTGTGTGATGTACTTTTAGCCACTTCAGTAATGAGACAGTGACAGTGGATGTTCAGCATCACAAGTAAAGGTTACAGTTATATTGTGTGTATCTGGCAGCTCCTGCAGCCTCTCAGATACTCAGACTAATCCAAACCTGTAGGCCCTAAACTATATAAAGCTCCTGTCACACACTTCCAGCCACTTCACCTCAGCCTGACTCCAGGTGTCCGTATGCTTGCTGCTGGTTTGCCAGGTTGGAGCCGAGTCCAGCCTGCCAGACCTGTGAAGCTTTCATGGATCTTCCTCCAGAGAATGTTTGGATTTTATCAAATCACAGCGACTCACAGAGACATGCGGTGAACCTCCAGGGTGTCCTCAGTCACTGCAGCAGCTTGTCCTTTGAAATACTGTACACTGAAAATGCTGAACACATCTACTTTATGTCATTCACTCATAAAGCTGCCTACAACGTGACTCCCACACACATACTGTGTCATGAGAAGATGCTTTCACACGTGTCAGGACAGCTGATCCTGTGGGAATGTACAGGTTTCAGTGAGTCACTTGTTATGTCTAAACAAATGCAAACTGTCTTAAAATAATCCTGGACCAGTCGGCGGTGAGTGGCCTTCATCAGAAGAACATGTAACCGTAGTTCACTGGTGTACAAGTTATCCTGAATTGTATTTTTGTATATTTGTTCCAGTTTGTGACTGCCCCTGTTTGTCTCGACACTAATCACACAGCAAACACGTGCTAACGCCTTCAACTTGGCGTTAATAAAGTCCAAGCTCGTTACAAACGCCGGACCTCCTGAAGCCAGTTCTCCTTTAACAAGGCAGTCTTTGTAACCACTGATGGGATTTATAGGAAGTGACCCGATGCCGTTACAAACATTGAAGGAAAGAAGACTTTAATGGAAAGTTCCCCAGGAAAAGGAGGACTTGAGGTAAACAGGAGAAGATGGAGAGGAGATATGACAGAGCAGTCATGCTGCACTGGAGGAAATAGGAAAACGTGCTGCAGGAGGTACTGTAATCAAAGGTCACATGACCGAGTCATAATCTGAGTGTGTGTTTAAGATCTCCAAACTATAATTAAAATTCATTCTTATTGTTGCTGTAAACATGAGAAACAGCTGTTTGTGTGACAGACATGTCCAATCTGAGCTGCCTCTAAGGCCTCAAGTTAACCAGAGTCCTTCATTCAGGACTAACTTTGCTAAGAAACATAGTTTGGTTGTGACTGATTTATGGTCAGAATTACAACTACTAGAAGAAGAAATGTGAACATGTATTGTTCTTCTGTGACCCCTACATGAGTGTTTCCTACATTAGTGTTGTGAGGTTTTGTACTAAACCTCAGTGCCAGTACTGTACTTTGATTTGATCTAAGAACTCACCACTGAACCATTTGCCAGCTGATGTGTTCCTCCTCCCCTGAGTGCCAGGGCAGGAAGTCCCCAGCAGACGCTGGCAATCTAGGCTGTGCTGCCGCCGGCCAGATCCCGGCTTTATGGCTCTTTATGGTGCTTTGGTCGGAGGGGCTCGTTGGCTCTCGCTGCTCGGCTGGGCGGCTCTGTTTTATGGACTGTCTGTGTTAACCCCTCTTATCTCTGCTACAGTAAGGCTACCTACGACTCAGAGATAGCAGAGTTTTCCAATGGCAGGTGTTAACTCACCTGCTCCTTCCCTTATGTGTGTTTTTTAATTAACCCAGTAAGGGACCCTCAGCTCCACCAGATGATTACGCTCAATCAGATCAAATTAATGAATACGCAGGAGCAGGGGCAGATACTGCAGCTGACTGGAGGACCTCTGTACATTGTCCCGCTTATCTCCACCTCTCTGGAGCTGCCCTGCTCATCCTGCTGTTACAGTGAACTCTGGACCTGAAGTCAGACAGGAGGTACCAGCTCTGACTGCACCTCATTATTGCTCCCCCCTTTCGTCCACCTGCGCTCCTCCTACCTCACCGGATATTAATTAGAGCACTAAGAAGCCCTCTTTTTCCTGCATGTTCACATTTAATTTCAGTTGAGTCGTTGTGAGACAACCTCAGCGTTCAGCTCAGTAAAGTTCTGCTTAATCTTCACCCTCGGCTTTAATTTCCTCCATCTCAGTTGGCACTTTTTCATTCTGACTGTTGCATTCTCCTGCTCATATTATGTCAGTGTCATCACCTCACTGTGTGCTCTGGCCAGCTGATGTGCTGACCAGCCCAGCTGGCATTTCTTATCTTTTCCCAGTCTTTATCATTTTTGGGCCTCCCTTGAAAAGAGGAACCGGTGGGGTAAACAGACACAGAGCTCAGGAAACATGCACATCAGCATTACAGCATTTACAGTATTCCAGTTTGATCTAGAGGCTTGTTTCAGTTTATTTCCACTGGAGAATATTAGTGCCTCTTCAAAGTCCATACTCTAGCTTGGAGGGTTGTCTGCTCTGGTGTTTATGGAATTTAAGTTCAGTTCTGCCTCGGCCTAGAAGTTTTTCCTGTCCACCATCACGAAGGACATCCCAAAGCTCATTTCTGCTGGAGGGGACATGAGTGAGGAAACACGAGAGCATCCTTCTCTGAACCACCCTGTCTCCTTGATATAATAATAACCACCAAATATGTTACACACAAAGAATTTGTTTTCGATACAGAACCGAGGCAGCCATCTGGGGCGCCAACTCACACTGATAGCAACTTGGGGGTGTTCAGTGTTTTGCCCAAGGACACTTTGACACGTGGACTGCAGGCACTGAGATTTGAACCTCCAACCCTCCGGTTGGGAGACGACTACTCTACCCACTGAACCACAGTCACCCACTGTGACCTAGGTTTCCCTCATGCTTTTGCCAGATTGTCTTGTGCGCTTGTTATTTCTCCTGTTTGCACTGTTATCCCTGTGTCTGAACTCTGCTCTGTTTTCCGGATTGTTGCTCCTTGTTTTTCTCCTGTGGATGTTTTGCTTGTCCTGGAATGATTTTGCGTTATGGCCAGCGCTTGGACTTCTGGTTCTAAGTCTGGCTTTCCCTGTTGTTACCATAAAACTGCTGAGCTCAGTCTGCAAGCTGTTCTGGCTTGTGTGCCTGCATTTGGCTCCAATCTCCTCAGACACGTTGCTGTAAGACACGTCTGAGAACCTGAGGCCATGAAGGAAAGGTCAGGGCGTCAGCACGTCAGTCTTAAAACAACAGACAGACCTGGCCTTTGGCTCCAGCTCAAAGAACAGATAAAACTGTTAGCAGCCTGATACAGAAATCAAGTCTAAATGAGTGAAATCCTGCTGTGCACAGACAGCACTCAGTGCCACTCAATACATTAAAGCTGTCGAGGAATTGAAGCCTTCCTGTCCAGAGGTTGTTGTCACAGCATGTCCATGAAGCACAGACGCTAAGAGAACCTTCACAGGCTTCTTCTCAGGAATCTTGAGCAGACAGGAGGCGACAGGAGGTTGCAGGGAAGGTGCTGGCTGAACCCCTAGCCCCATCTCTTCCAGCCCCGGCAGTCTGCTCTCCACCTCTGCACCCTCATCTCAGTCTACAGGTTTCTCTATCGACCCCCTGGACGTGGCTGTCACCTCAGCTAATGCTGGCAACTGTAGCCAGTGTTGTTTCATTTAGTGATGCCAGCTCCACATCAGCTGGCCCACAAACATACAGAATATGTTCAATAAGAAGGGGACAAGGTGGTTTAATACTAATTGACTGATACAAAAAACTTTAACAAGTGGATTTAAAAAAAAACTACAACCCAACATTTTGGATGCAAAACCAGATTTAAATGATCCCTGTGTTGTTTTTATGGTGTTTTCACATTCTTTTTTTTTTTTTTTTATGCTATTCTCTTCGCTTTCTATCCCCGTAGCTTCTTCTCAGCTGCCTCGTTCCCAAGCTGTCAAGAGAAATTAAGGTTGAGCTCCACAGTCATTGCTTTCATCTCGTCTCCAGCTTATCAGTGTCTCTGTCACTGCTCCATCTTATTACATCCAAGAATAGTTTCACAGGAAACCTCCCATCCAGCAGCATCATCGACAGGCACGTTAGGCGTCTGGGTTAGGTGAAGAAATTTGTCTCAGAAATCTCCCTGAAAAATCTTGTTATCTTTCTGGGCCTCTGTCCCAGCTTCATCCTCGGGTAAATACATCTACTACTGGAAATGGTGGAGAGGATTGTGGGGTCTGGTTAGAACATATCATCTCTAACAGCAGAGTTTCTGTGAAGCTCCACAGCACTGAGAGAAACAGGGAGGAGACCCTGTCCTCACCCTAGCCCTGTCTCCTTCCACCAGTTGTTGCTGCTGGGTGGGCGCTGCTGACCACACGTCCATCTGGACACCCTCACCTTTCTGCCTTTCCTCTTTTATCACCTTGGTCCTTGAGTCCATACTGTCCATTTCACTTGTGCATACGCTCAGCTCATGTTGGACACGACATAATCCACATTTGTCTTATCTCTCTGTTTTAATAACAGTGTTCATGTCTCAGGTGAAATAAAACAAAAAGTGGAGCCCACTGGGCCATTTTACATCTACTGACCTTTGATCCAGTCACTGATTTACACTCATGCAGTCATCTGACACAAGCTGCTGCTTTATTGTTTTATCACTTTGTTTTTCCCAAGTTGTCTTATGAAGATTACTCTGGTACTCTGAGTTAGGAACGTGAAGGTGGCCCTGAGTGTGCAGCGCCATGTTTGACCCAGAAGGGAGAGCACTGGCTAATTTAATGCAAAGCAAACACTGTGTGTATTAAAGGACGAGCTGATATACAGCACTGGACTAAACTGACTTTGGTGAAGGAGGGGAAACAAATACTCTCAGCCCAATTCTAATCTCAAAAGAGAGAGAAACCGCAGAGCAACAACACGAGCCAACAGGCTGTTTTCAGGTCTGTTTACGACCTTAAAACTTACAGCCACCTTTGCTGATGGAGCATCACAGGCAAGGAAATGGATGTTTGCAGTCTGATGAGTTGGGACAGCCACATTCCCTCATGCTACACCAGACTTCCACATAAAAGGTTCTGTACTGAATATTCAGCATGGCCCATGTCCAACGTCCAGCTCCTGTGCTGCTTTAATGAGCTGGTTTCTGTGAAGGGATCATCAAAGCAGCTGTGGGGAATAGTGTAGTGGCAAGGTCACTAGTGGTGGACGACAGCCGCACAACCTCAAACTAAACCTACACAGGCTTCACCAAGTTTTCGGTGCCCTTCCCTTCCTGCCACAGTCATTTCACCCCCCCAAATATTTCTGTCTGTTTCCCTGCTTAGCCATATGGTTTGTGCAGTTATTCTTTGAGTAATAGTTGGTCTTCTAAACTTTCTGCCATTGTTGTGGTCATTTAAATCCTTGCTGTATTGTCCCCCATTAAACCAGCCTGCTAAATACCAGTTCAGAGTTTAATGGTGTCCTGATGGCCCCAGTGGTTCAAGCTGTGTAAATAAGTAACATGTAATGGTGTGATACTGGGAAGTCAAGTTCAGCTGAGAGCGTGTCTCACTGTTCTCTCTAATTAAACCCTAAGAACTGACAGAGAAGCAATGTGAAGCAGCACTGGTGCAGACTCTCTGTCCTGCTGTGTGCTGGAGGGGATCCATGAAGCCAGCTGGCACTAACCAGCTGGACCAGGGAGGAGGCGGCTGGGAAAGTGCTGCTGTGGGCCATCTGGCTGCCTGACCATCACCTCTATGTGGCTGCATTAGCTCCCTGAGCCCAGGTCGGGTCGGGGACGGAGTTCACTGACTGTTCATGTGTGAAGCTGCTGCTCTCGCATATCCTCAGAGAAAGAGTCACATTAAGCTCATTTACTGTAATTTATTTCTTCCCAGCTGACTTCACACTGACTCACATCTCACTTTCCATCCCCTCTGCAGCCTGATAAAATAGTATGAATAATTATGTGCCATCCTGAATCTTTGGCTTGCCTTAATTTGATCTGACATAAAGATGTAAAGGACTTTTTAAATCATTGTGTTCATAAAAGATCCCAGGGAGAGAATAATTTAGTCCCTTTGTGTCCCTCGTGGGAATATGTGCATACCTTTTACAAAGTGAGAGCTTAGTGGAGTTCGTTCTCATATCTAAACACAAATACATACTAATAGAACTACAGAAATTAACACAATCCCAGGCAGTAAATGAGAACCAAGACTAAAGAATATACAACAAGCCATATTAATATTAAACAGAGAGCTTACTACTAATATCACAAATGTACCAGGAAGAAAGACACAGCCAAACAACTGTGATCATGAGGGAGCTCGGTGTTGAGCTGTAACCTGAAGGACCATGTCTGTGCACAATCAGCTCACAGGTATCATGATAAATGGGAGTCATTTGCTCTTTCACAGTGTCTTAAAGACACAGCAGCTCCTTTCTTGTTTGGAAAACAAAAACTTAGGGGTTTTGAAAAAGCAAACACTATTACACAGTCATGACCAAATACAACTGTTTCACCACCAAAACCACTATAATAAAAACATTTTACAGCACCAGGATGTAGCATCACAAACTCCAGACACACTTCCATCAGACAGTATTCAGTTTGCAATAAACAAAAGTTCCTCATGTTTTCTGAAGGTTTAGGGAAAAACCATTTCAGGTGAAACCAGCTTTATATGTGAATACAGGTGAAAGGTAACTGGACCACAAACACTGACTGGATCTGCATTTACTTTTCCCGTGTTATGAAGAGATCCTGTAGCCTTCTAGGGCAAACTGGTTCAGGTGTTTGTGTGTTTGGGGGGCAGATTGGTGGGGAGTGGGGTGATGAAGCCCTTTACCTCCGACCTCTGGACTCGGCCCAGCTCTGTCAGTGTCTCCTGTAGTTGGAGATGTCGCGCAGTCCCCGGATGGGTGCGCGCATCCTCGGGCACCAGCAGAACATAAAGCGAGCGGCGCGCACGGGGCTGAGCAGTGCACCAGCTACCAGCGGTGAGAGCAGCTGGTTCGGTGAGGGCAGAGGAGAAAACCCCCAGCGGGGCTGACATGAGCTGCGGGGTTTCTGCACACCTGACCGCGCTGGGAGCCTCTTTTCTGCGGGAACGCAGAAGGAGATGTGCCCTATGGGGCGGATGGCGGAGCTGTGCGACCACAACACCACGTCCTCCTGGAACTGGTCCACTGCAGAACAGAGCCGGTTCAGTGGCCTGGACGACATCGATGTGCCGGCGGACGGCTCCCCGACCCTGCGCATCCTCATCTCCATTGTGTACTCGGTGGTGTGCGCCACTGGGCTGGTCGGGAACCTGCTGGTGTTCTTCCTGATGAAAGTGTGCCGGAGCAGGAAGAAACGCTCCAGCATCAACCTGTTCGTGGTCAACCTGGCCGTGACGGACTTTCAGTTCGTCCTGACCCTGCCGTTCTGGGCGGTGGACACGGCGCTGGACTTCAGCTGGCCGTTTGGGAACGCCATGTGCAAGATCATCCTCTCTGTGACGGTCATGAACGTGTACGCCAGCGTGTTTTTTCTCACCGCCATGAGCGTCACCCGGTACTGGACGGTAGCCTCGGCCCTGAAGGACCGGACGCGGCGACGGGTGTGGCCGGTGCGCTGGATGATTGCCGGGCTCTGGGGCTCCGCCACAGTGGCTAAAACTCCCCACCCGCGCTTTTTGCCTCCAGAGGATCCTGGTGGCCTTCGTTTTCCCGATGGTGATCGTGACCGTGTGCTACCTGCTGCTGCTGCGCTTCCTTCGCCTGCACAGCATGAACAACAGCCAGATGAACCGGAGGTCGCGAGTGACCCGGTCGGTCACCATCGTCGTCCTCTCCTTCTTCATCTGCTGGATGCCTAACCACGCCATCACCTTGTGGGGCGTCCTAGTGAAATTCAACGTAGTCCACTGGGACAAGACGTACTACATGATGCAGACGTATCTCCACCCGGTGACAGTGTGCCTGGCACATACGAACAGCTGTATGAACCCGGTACTTTACTGCCTGATGCGCCGCGAGTTCAGGAAGAAGATAAAGGATCTGTTCTGGAGGATTTCCTCTCCCACTGTGACGAACATCTGCCACCTGCGGCCGATGAGAGCGGAGCCGGACGACACACAGATCGTCATCCCGCTGAACAACGTGGACACGGAGAACTGCAGACTGTCTGTTTTAACGGAGCAGTGCTACACGGACACGATGCAGAAGTAAATGAAAAGACAGAAGTCTCAGGATTTAATAGAAAACCCCTGAATCCCACTGACGACTTCTGAATTTTCACGTCTTTTCCACAGGCGAACCTCTCAGAGGGACAATGGCTCCCGGGTCTCCGTGGATGTCGGGGATTTGTCTAAACAGTATATTTGTGCATTATACATAAGTGTTGCTGCAGCTGGCCTCCTGTCTCCGCTCTTTTCTAGTGTTTGGACTCATTGTTTTGTTTTCACAAAACAAAAGCGGGAAATAACAACTACGTGCAAACTGTGCGCCATCCAGCGCGCTGCGTAAAACCACTCCGCTGCGCTTCTCCTTGGCCTGACTCTCGTGACTACTGTCAAGGGGGAGCGCTTGTTTGGCTTTGGAAAACGGACTGTGGTTCTTCTAGTCTCCAAATGAGTGCAGTCTCGGGTGTAGAGGGGTCACAGTGCGGGCCTCGTCCTGCAGGAGGACTCGCCTTCTGATGCTTCTAACATCTTTCTGTGGAATATTATTAACGTTTATTGTGGCTGCTGAAATGTTCGAGTTTACATTAAGTGACTGTAAAAAAAATTAACAACGATGTGTAGGGATTAAAAGAGCTCCTTTGCACTGATTCAGGTGTGAGTCCGTTTGAGCACTGTGTTTAGACGAGAGGCCGCGATGCTTTCTGGGCCTGGTCTCTGCTTCGTGTCTGCATGCAGGCGGCCTCGGGGCTGCAGGGCTCCCTGTGCGGTTCAGATCATCTTAGCAGGGAAGAAGTTCATTTGGATACCAATGTTATTTTACAGGTTCGTTATTTCTGAATAATTACTTTAAATTTTCCTAAAAGAACCACGTGGTTTGGTATTAATTAAAGAAAAAAAGACAAAGTTCTAAGACTATTTTTTCCTTAGTCCGTTGGGTTGTGTTGACTCCCAGATTAATTTCCATGAACGAAATTGCGCAGTGTAATATTAATATTTACTGTTTATTATCTGAAATGGTATTCTTCATTTTTACTGTATTGGTTGTTTGCCGACAAATTTAATTTTATGCATGTGTAGTTCACCTTGGATAAAATAAAAGCCTCAGGTTTGGTAGCTTAGCATTTAGAGATAACTGGAAGTGTACCGACTGGTCACTCTGTACCTGGAAGATTTGGTACCTGTACCAAATTTTACGGCTCCTTCCAGGAAACCTCTTAGGAAGTTATTACGAAATAAACTTGAATTTACGGACCTGTAAACTAAAGCGTCACCACAAACGTTTATTTTTAAGACATGTTTGTGTGGGTGCCTACACGGGCCTTTCTTGGAAACATACTCCTCAGAGTACACAGATGTTTCATAGACATTGTACAGGCTCGGTGTTTAAAACCTGGAGCGAGAAATGATCCTGCTGCACTGTCGAAAAGCCTTTAGCTTGGCCCAGTCAGGTCATTGTCAGGCCCTGAAGTGGAAACCATCCAGTCAGCAGACTCACCTGGTTTAAATCTGACAAGCTGTTTATTTGATCTGAGTCACAGTGTGTAGAAAACATCATGAAGAAGAGCTGGAGACAGACCCGGCCTCTTATTTTTACTACCCATCAATCTGCTGTATATTCTCTCCCTTTGTTCAATAAGATGAGGTAAAAGTGAAAAATGTCTGCTATGCATGTTTTATAGTAGCTGCTATCCAGGTCTGTTGTTTCCTAAGTGCGGTTGAATGGTCCCTACACTGTAAAAAAGGATTTTTGAGGTTTGTAATTATGATACATATAAAAATATTAAAAATTACTTATGTATATTAGTTTGCATGTAAAACGTATCATTATGGGTAAATTGCACCTTCGCTACCCTTTTGGTAACAGTAATAACTACAGCGTTTAGAAAACACGTAAAAAGTACCCAATAATCCTGGCATTACACGTCAATGTGCGCATGCGTCAGGACCTGCCAACCTGCTGCTGTGAGCTGTGCCCGTCACCCGCCATTCATGAGATGCCACTTTGAATGTAAGTAACAACTCCTATTTAACATGTTGCTGCGTATCTTGTCGGGAATGCAAATATTACCTTATTTAATGTTAAGATGGCTTACAAGAATTTTACTCGGTGTATTTCTGTATAATAGAGTATGTCATACATGTAGAAAGTGTATCGAAAGTTTGAATTGCCGCCGTCTCCACTTTTTTTTAAAGAGATTTACCATAGGATTAAATGCATAAGGGGCTATAAAACTTAGTAAACATAATTAGATGCATGGTGTTTCGAGTTGTGGACAAGACGAGATAAGTATTAACTCGTTGGCGCCGATTCCGAGCAAGTGAAACGCGTTCTTTTATAACAAAACACGCTGTTTTATCAGGCCAAAATCAGTATTTATTAGCATGACTTTGCTGTAAAAAGACGAAAAAATGATTCGCGTTACTTTAGGGGAGGACGCAGTACATATGAGTTGCTCCCCATTGAGTAACGTTAATTCGGAACAGAACAATCGTAATAAAACATTAAACTTATTGCCAAAGCACTCGTATGTGTCACAGTCTGGTCTTCTCACTAATCGTTTACACTACTTGCTGAGCTAAACTGTTGTGTCCTCCCTAAATGTTGCCCACTAACCGTTAGCGGGTTAGCTAGCGGCTTTTTCCCGCGGTCCACAGGCATAATATAAAGCATTTCGCCTCTGTTTGAGTTTCAGCTAAAAATGCATTAAAATGCTAATACAATGCAAACAAAGACCACAAGCCTGTGTTGTTACGTTTTGCCTTGTGCTCAATATGTGTCACATCTCTGATGATTTTATTATATTTTATTTGCTACTGTTTCATTCTGCAGGACTCTTTGGTTCTTGTTACCATTGCTAACTCTGAGAGACGAGACAGTCCAAGTAACTTCAAAACTGTGCTGATTTATTCAAAGGATCACAGGTAAAATTAACATTACACGCTCAGGTATCTTGCACCTCCAAACTGCACACAGGCAGATGTAAGATGAAAGACCCTGAACCCACCAGGCCTATACATTATATCCCCTCGGTTGGGCTAGCCCCATACTACACAGAAACGTCAAC